ACAGATTTTCACAAGTTAACGTAAATACCCGTAAATAAATCTCTGGAAAAAAAATATAGTTTTTATATATTTCACATAAAGTAGTTGCTTAAGGTTTACTTACCATAAGCTCTGATACATATTGAAGGCAATCAATATAGGAATCAATATTTGGTCTGCATATTATTAAATTTAATTAATTCATTAAGAGTTTTAGGAAGTAAAATATTAAATTAAATATTTTCACTGAAGTAAAATAACTTAACTATTTTTTTAATAATATAAACAATTTTGTGGTAACTGAAATGCCACTTTTTTTAGTAGCACTGCGACCAGCGGGTCTATTGTGCCCCATTTTTTTAGTTTAAATGATGATAAATTTTCTTTACTAGCATTTTCGTTAATGAGTAACTCTGATTTTATTGCTTTATATGTACGCATATATGATTTATATAGTGATATATCTTTCTTTATGATATCGTCTAAAAGTACTTTTTCTTCATAATTTTAAATAACTTTGAGCAATTTTATTCTCATCCATTTTCGCTGCCACAACATAAAATTTCAGTTAATTTAAATTTCATAAATTTCGCAATACGTCAAGCATGAGTACGAGTATGAGTGGCAGATACATAAAATTATAAAAAAAAACCTTTGAATTGTTTTTCTTTAAGCTACAAATTTTAATCTTTTGTAGTTTTCCGCACGATTAAACGATTTAAATGGAATATTTTTCATGCTATCGCGCCGCATGTCCTTGCGAAGAAAAATACAAATAAAAAAACATGAATATATATAATAAAATGAGAAGAATATGCATAAAATAAGAAGAAGAATAAATAATAATGTAGAATCTTTTGCATATTAATATTCAGTACTTATATAAAAATTGAAACTTTAATGCAAAGAGTATCTGCAGAGCTCTTGAAAAAAATGTACTTGATAGGTACACTTTTTACTGTGTCTGAATACGTTCAATGCTACATCCATCATCTCTCATTCTTAATGCCCTGCCCTTTGCATATTACAAATCGAAAATAAATCAATAAAAATCTTAAACTAATCCCATATAAATTTCAAAAATGCAAAAATGGAATAAAATAAGTACACTTAGTGAAAAATTTTGTGCTGACGTAAGCAGCAAAGGTCCAATAGGACAATTCGTCAGGATTTGCCCGAAATGGTTAAATAATTTATTTGAACTGCTGTACAAACTGAATTCAGACTGAATTCAAAGAATTTTACAAGAAATTGATGGAGTCAATTCGGTTGCCATCAGAGAAGAGAGTGAAATACACAAAAAAAATATGCAAAGAAAATGAATAATAACAACAAGGAAAATGTCTTGAATACCACTTGAAAGTGTAATGTATAAAGAAGAAGAAGAAAAAATCATGAAAAAAAGAAATAAACGAGAAAATTTGGATAGTTAGTTGTGATAATGCAATCCACCTCCCTACACCACCACCCACTTTTAGGGTTTGCAATTTCTTAGTTTGCAAATTTGAAAATTGGAAAATGCTAATTGTGCGAGCAAATACTCTTATCGCTCGCATTCCTCTGAATGGAACTGAGTGGAAATGGTGTAATAGTGTCGCCTTCTCGCCTTGACAATTACATCCTGATGATATATTTCCGATATTCCGATTTCTAATGGCGAAAAGTTTAGGGTTGCGCACTTAATTTGCTCGAAACGTTACGTTTGCTTGGTGCTCATGCAATTTGTTAGCTAAGTGCATTCCGAATTTCCAATGCGGAATTTCAAATTCGTTTATTGCATTTGACTGCAAAATTGAAGTGATGCATGTCGTTTTTGCTAATTTTGCAAAAGTAACCGAAAGCTGATGCAGCGTATCAGAAGAAGCATGTATGCATGCAGGCAACTGCAAATGCGAATGCGAATGCCAATCCTACAATTGGATTCGCATACAATCGCATTCACAGTTATATACGAATGTACTTCTCAAAGTGGCCACACCAGGACATGCTCTTTACGAGATATAAACTTAATGCAATGACACAATTACTAACTACAGTGCTGTTGATAGATACCCGTATAGTAAATGTACACAGATGCGACTGCTACTGCTGCTGCTGCTGCTGAAGCGGTCTCAATATAAAGTAACCACATAAAAATAGCAAAGGGAAATTTCGCTTAATGCAATTTCTTAAGTTTATTTTTGATTTTAAGCCAATTGCAAAATTCAACAAACATATAAGTGGTGTGCTTTAGTATCTTTCCGTTTGCCTAAATGCATTTTTGTTACAGCTTTTGCAATTGAAATCGAGTACGACGAGTAGCCTTTTAATGTCATCTGTAATTCTTACCACTATTTAAGTAAAATATTTACAAATGTTGAAGCCCGAAATGTTTCTAGTCTAGCTTCTAGCTTGTAATTGCAATCAAATATATACATAAGTATGTACTCTACGTCCCGATTTGTGTGTTAACAAATCAGAGTTTATGTACTTCAATGAATAGAGTGTGTAAATATTGTATAAAGCATTTAATATCTAAAAGCTTAGCAAATATTCATTAATTGTCTTTTTGAATTATTACAATATTAATTAAAATCTTTTTAGTTTAATTGCTTTCTTATTCAATTTTTTTTTTTTTAATATATAATCTCCTTAAATTAAATTTGAAACAGTGCTTAAGTACTATTAAGTATGAATGGTTTAAAAATTTGATTTAAGACATAAAATTTCTTTGACTGTTACAAAATTATATATATCACTTAATAAAATAAGAGCAATATATACAGTTCAGGTTTTATGAAAGTGGCATTTTCATAAACAAACAAAATTTTTTATGGCAGTAGAGAATAGGCGGACGTTCTCATTAACTGACGTTCTGATCAACGGGGACGCTCTCATAAACAAATAAACTTTATTGTGGTAGTAGACCATGGACGTTCACATACATTGACGATCTCAAAAACTGGCGTTCTCATGAACCGATATTCTAAAGAAATTGACCTATATTCTGATCAACGAACGTTCTTATTAATAGAAGTTCTCATAAACAGACAAAAATTATCATAGCAATAAAGAAGAGAAGTTCTTATTTATGGTACTATTTACTATATCTGAAAAAGCCGTTTTCATTATAATAAACTTATTATTAACAGACAATTTTCATTAACATAAATTCTAATTAACAGACATTCTCATAAATATAACTTCACTTCTCCTGTCTTTTATTCGATGGTACTCTAAGACATACAGAATTATAAATTCAATTGGCATTTAATTATCAAGTTTTTATAGTACAAGCAAATATTATGAGTTACGTTATACGTTAGTTATGGCCGTACTTTTATTCAGATGTGGGTATATATAACAATACTCTATACCAGAGCTGTCGAAAGCATGGTCTATGGGCCTCATACGGCCCGCAGATAATATTTGTGCGGCCCGTGACATGTTCCTTATCGACCACAATTTAGCAAATTTTTCTTTGCATATTTTGATAAAAGGAGACATTAATTAAAAAGACATTAATTACGAATAAAATATTTTTCGTATGGCAACAACTAATGTCAATAATGTTGATAGTGATAGAATTGTCAAAGATAAATTAATGAAAAATTAATAAAACTGAATTTGACATTGCCGTATTTTTATTTTTCTCCGGATAAATCATAAATGTAGTTGTTTATTTCTACGACCTTTCAACCTAATCAGAAATTTGTATTGGCCCGCGATCTTATCTGATCTGGACAGCCATGCTCTATACCAATTGCTCATGTTTATATGTAAAAATGAACGAAGGTTCTACGCATTTCTTTATTTTTAAAATGAGTGCTAAATAAATACTTTATTAGTATTCCCTTAAATAGATCACTACTCTTTATAAAAGCATAAGAGCAAGTTTCTTCATTCTGATCTATGAAGATCCTTATGGGTAATCTCTAAATACTCTCCAAACTGCCGTTGTTGTTGGTGATCAGATCTACAAGATACTTAAGGATGTTACATATAAAATATTTTATATATAACATACAATTTCATTTTTATTTTGTTAGAAATTTTTATTTCTTTCTGTTTAATAGTTCATTATATTATTATTTATATCTATCTTATATTAAGGAAATTTTCTTAGAACTGTAATATGGAACAGAAGCTTTTAGTTATCATTGACGTTAAAATATTTCAAATAAGTTAGATAAAAATGATTTAATTTTATTACTATATAGTAATATTATAATATTTCTTACCTCTTAAATCTTTTACTTTTATCAGTTTTATCGAGACCCTGAACTGCAAGTGCATTGACGTTATTGATCAGTCTTTGATGGCACTTTGTAGAGTGTTTTCCAACAGCCTGTATATTTCTGCTCCAAAAGCAGTGATCAACTTAACTTTTTAAATTGATAACTTTATATAATTTCAATATTTATATCTCGAAGAATGGTCCATAGTTGTATTCCATTGAGTTCACATAGTTTTTTATATAGTTTTCTAATGAACTATTTTATTTTCCACTATAAACTGAGACTGATGTCTAAGTAACCAGTACAGTTTTTGGTTATAATATTATTTTATATATCATATTTTATTATTTATATTTTATCAAATAGTAATAAAATTTTAATTATTAATATTTTATTATTTTAATATATTAATAAGATATATACTATTAATATAATATTATATTTCATTTATAAATACTTTTAATATATTGTTCATATATAGACTTAGTGGAAGAAAATTCAATGAATTGAATATATATTAAAATATTAGTATTAATTATTCACTACAATCAATTAATTTATAAGATTCTAGAATGAACTTAGAAAGTATAATCACATAAGTATATATCATTTCTTATATACATATATATACTCATATGTACTTAAAAAGTACAAGTATACACGATATGATAAGCGATTTTTTTGTCAAAAATATTACAAACAAGACAATCTTTTTCTTTTATTTTATTATTTTATTTTGGTATTAAAAATTTAAATGAATTTGAAATGAATACAATATAAAAATTTTGTTTTTGTTAATCTGTTGATTACATAATTTTTTTTTTGTCTAAACATTGGTGTAAACCATTTTTAATCTATGGTTTCAGAACAATATCTTGATCTCCTATATTTTAATATTATAGGATAAATTAAATTAAACGCCAACTTTATTTGTGCTTCTTCACGTGCTCCAGTTATAATAACCTTTCCGGAAGTGAATATCAATAGAACAATGCGTGGCTTTACCATACGATATATTAGTCCTGGAAATATTTCCGGTTCATAACAAGCAAAGGGATGATTTCCAGCACATAAAGCATTTAATTCCACTTCGAATTTTACATTAAAAGAACCAACGATATTTTGAATTTGGAAGTTCTGAAGCCTTGGCTAAATATATACATAAATTCATAAATTCATTAATTAATATGGCATAAGTTGTATGCAAGAACTCTAGAATATTTTTTTGCTTACATGATATCCCAACTTTTGTATAATACGTGCAAATTTACGTGAAGCTAAACGGGATAGATCCACTGATTTGGCACCTGTGCAGACTAATTTGCCACTCTTGAATATTAGAGCAGTCGTACGTGGGTCACGTATGCGCATAATAATAGCGGCGAAGCGAAGTGGAGAATACTCGGTATTACGTGCTTTTAATGAAATGTCCATTAAATCAAGCACGCATGACAAACTGGCTGTAGAAACGATATTTCTATGGAATTTAAAAGTAATTAACACAAGCACTAATTGAATTAATTACAGAATTTTTAAAATACAGTTTTCATTACTAGCTGTGCATTTACTTACTGTAATTCTGGTTCAATTATACTTGAAAAGTACCAGGAAGTAGGTGGTGGTAACGAAGCCATTGCTCCCATTATTTGACGATGTATGTTAACAGAAGAGCTGCCTTCTTCCTCTTCACCGATTTCCACTATTGTACGTGATTTCTTTAATAGATTATAAATTTTATTTAAATTATTAAACAAAATAATTAAAATAAATACCACCTCCATTGGTATAGTACGTGATTTCGAAATATAAGATATCCACTTATTATCCTTTGCAGATAATCGGGATTGAGACACTCTATTACGTAGAGTCACTTGATTCAACTCCGGAGATGATGGTGGTGTTGGTAGTATGAGTATATCATTCAATAATGATGATTGTAACGTATTACGTATAAACCCAATATCAACTGATTCCGTTGGAATCCATTGAGGTGCTGGTGGTGTTGTTTCCTTCAATAGATTTCAGAGAATTTATAATTAAATTACAAAACATAATTTTAATAAGTATCCTCACTATTGGTTTTAATGATTGTGCCAATAGTTCATATTTACTAACAGTGTTGTCTGCTATTGGTAACGGCACTGTATTAAATACTGGGTCAGTTACAACTGCATTCGCATTTTCAGTAATAGCTATTGGCTTGGATAGAGAATTTAAAGTATCCATTGATATCTTTGCTCCAATTGGTATTAAGTTTGTACTCTCTGAATTCGAGTCTAGCAGACCTAAACTAATGTCTATCCCGAATGGATCCAACGCTATCTTGTGGATTATTTGTGTTAAACTCATCGAATTAGATAACTTCTCCATTTTAGCACCGAATTTCTGTTTGAAAAAAGAAAATAAATTAATGAAAATCATTAACAAAACAAATAAATTAAAGATTTGACAAAATAACATTTTACATATGAATATACAATAGACGGTTAACAATTAGAACCATTTTGTTTATCGGATAGTTCTGTTTTCGAAATGTTCTGAACGAAGTTTAAATAGTATATTACCTTTATAAATAAATAGAAATATAGCTGAAATTCAAACAGTCATAAAATATCAATTCAGTCTTTATGGGATAGCCACTTTTTCTATTCTATTTAAAGATACAATACCAATTGTAAATTTTTGAAATAATATTATATTATTCAAATAATTTATTCCCTTCAATTTTGCAACAATTTCACTTAATATTGAAAGGATGCAATTTCTCAAAATTTCTCGAAAATTTGTTTTTAATTGAAATTACCACAAATACAATAATCGAATGCAATGCCATTTTCACAATAAGTGTTTGATCCTCGATTTGCATTTGTTTATAGTCAAGCAGTGAGCAACACATTAGGAATGCTTCCCTGTGTTAGATGTACCTTTGTCAACCACAAACTGCGATTTCAAACCACTCAACTCAACTCTCCCTCTTTGCCGCACCACTTGCAACGCTTGCAACACTCGCAACACTTGCCAATAAATGCAAAAGTTATTTGCTTGCCGTAATATTTACGTAAAGTAAAGGAAAACGAAACCACAATTTTCAGTGCGCAACGAACACTTCACTAGCACAATGGACAGGACATGCAACATCCACCAGAGTGCAAAATTGAAACAGTGCACCTCTGCATTAATCCTAACATATGCATAACACACAACTTATAAGAGTAAATAGCATGCATATGTGTGCAGTGTGTAGTGTGTAGTGTGCACAGCTGCTGTATACCCACCAATTCCGTGGTCTATGCAAATTCACCTTTTGATTGGTTATTTATTTTTATTTTAATATTTTTTTTTTTTGGTTTGTTTTTTATTTCTATTTTTTATAAGTTGTCACTTTGCGTTGTTAGTCTGGCAACTTATGTGTACGATTGCAGTGCAGTGTATGTCTTCTTGCATGGATGCGTCAACGATGCCACTGCTACTGGGCTTGGTAGTAACATATGGTGCCTTAGAGATTTGCAATTGACAATTGGATGCAGGATGCTTTTGGTCTGCTTAAAGTCAATGCTTGTTTTGATATTTTATGTACTTGCCATGGAGAATTTCAACCCAAATTGTTGTGGTCAATACGAAAAGTAAATTTTAAGTGTCGGTCTGGTTTCACTTGGCTTGGTATGGTTTGATGCAGAAGAACTTTTTATAATAGAACATATGCTTCTCCCACTGTACCAAGTCCACAGCTACAACAGCTGCCCGTACAACTACGGGCAACTGAGTATCTAAGCAATTTTACGAATTTGATGCAGATGGAATTCAATGTAGAGCATTCATGTATTCACTTTTATTAACTATTGACATGAACTTCTGTATTTAGGTGTTGGTACGATTGCGTGAATGTGAGTGTGAGTGTCAGTGTCGGTGTGAGTGTGAGTGCCGAACCATTTGAAGATATTTTGTGGTTTTGCTGATACTGACAGTTTTACAGCACGAGTCGTACATAGAACGTAGTAGATATGTGAATCTAACAATGCAATCAAGTGTCCTGCTGTGCTTAGTAAGAGCACATGGTTTTTGTGGTCAAGTGGAATGTACACACAAGTATACTGCAGCATTAAAAATATTGAGTCTGTGAAAAGTTTATAGAAATTAAAAGTAAAAGACTTAAAAATAATTGACCTGCTACAGTAGCTTTGCTACATGAACGAATCCATGAAAGAATCTAAACTACAATTATATTAGCTGATGTAATTGGATTGCAATGTAATTTGTATTTGAATGAGCATTTGAATATATATAATTTAAATATATGTATCTGGTAAATATATAGTTTTGATAAATAAATTTTTTGGTGTTGCTAGCTACAAAACCAACTATTGAAATACCCATATATTATTAAAAGTGCTATATATTTACTCAATTTAGTTTTCAATCATTTAAATTTGCACTATTATTATTGTAAAAATTATATATTTCCTCTAAATTTAATATCTAATGACTAATGAATGAACACTGACTCTGAGCATTAAATTTGGCGGGGCAAGAGTTCAACGCTTAGTACTTGCAGTCTAAGTATTAAATATTATTTACGGATAATTAAGTATAAGAAATAATTGCACGACCACCGATGATGGGTATTTGGCAGTACACAAAACAACTGTATGATCAGCCAAAAATTTAATTAATTAAAATAATATAAGAAGAATTTCTGTTGTTGTACTTCACTATTTTTCGAAACTTCTCTATTTTGAATAACTTAAAATTGAAGAAATACTCGTCGAATCTTATAAATGCGGTTAAACTTCTATTAATAATAAAAATAGCTTATATTTTACATTACTCTATCCGAATAATGGATAAGCACCTCTTTATTAGCTCACCCTTTATTTTAGCTCATGAAGTTTCCGCATTATTTCACTGCGAATAATAATAGCAAATCCGAATATTCGAAGACTTTGGATTTAAAAAAAACCCATTTTTTTTTTCAACTCCAGTCTTCGTTGCTATTCAATTAATCGAATAATCGACTAACTTATTTTTTTTTAAATATCCGAATAGTATGAATAGCACTAGTTGAATAATCAATACATGGTTAAAAATTTCGCCTGTGAGCACCTGAAACAGAATTTTACCGAATAAACTTGCTTTAAGAAGACAAAGGTCTAAAAATGGGACACTAAGGGAAAGGTCACATAAGTGAAAGGCAACTTAAAAATGTTGCGAAAGGTAGAGATATTTGCCTTTAAAATTTATGCTTTTCCGAAGATTTACAATACCACGATGTCACTTAACTAAAAGCAGAAATTACTTCCGTAACTTGTGATTAATGTCTCGAAGATTCAATTTCAAAGAAATATGTTTCAATAAATTCCGAAAAGAGCTGTGAGCTTTTTTGGTACTTCAAATTAAGCACAAAGAGTGCAACTTAAATATATTAGAAACTGCCTCTAGAATAGATGAATATTTGTATTTAATATCATCATAAATGCCTATGAATTCAGGGTTTTCATTTCTACCATCAATAATTGCAATTAATGGTCGGAGTTCAAGATTATACTATTTTAATTTAATTGATAATTTATTGAGTTTTACTTGTAATTAGCTGCTTTGATTTACATGCAAGAAAAAGTAATTTTTTTTCATTTATTTAACTTACAAGAACTCGCTCAAAGTAGCATAGAGTTCCGCTTGGAAAATTGTGAAGTCTGTGCTTATTGTAATTGATTTGTGTGCTCTGAGTCTCACTATTCCTGCTCCAACACCGTGAAGCGTATAGGATCCAACTGTATACCATTTCTGCGAGCCATCATGCAATCATGTTCGGTTGGCATTTCACTCCTCTCTTGATAAGAAGATGACTCTATATCTCTTTGTGATATTGAGTACTGGGTCTGTGTTGTCAATTGCCTGGGTTATATATGTAACGTTTTCCACCCTGGTGTGGATTTGTAGATATCCAGTTAAGAGTGCTTGCATTGCAGCTTCCTCTTGTATTGATAGGTGTAGCGGTGGTTAATTTAGCAGTGCTTCCATGCCAGCAGTTGGGATAGTTCACATGGCCTCTGTGATACTTATGCACGCCAGCCTCTGTAATTTGATCAGTTTAGATATAGCTGTAGTTTGTTAAGTTTTTCCCCACCATACCAATACCCTATATAGTATGATGGGTCTAACCATTTGTGTGTAGATCTAAAACGCCATTTTGGGGCTCAGGCACGATGATTTTTCTAGATACACTAACTCGGAAAAGAGTCAATATATATATAAACTTTCCTATTAAATCACTACTTTCTTATTTTCTTTAATATATTTTCCATTTCAAATATAAAATTCTACTTTTAAATTAAAGTGACGCCAATAATGTACTGGCAACTTGTTCTAGATGTGCTTCCCTTGGGGTCGTCGGTATAACTTAACCTAACCTAATGAATTAAAAGTTTGTCAAGCAAGAAAACTAGATTTTTCCTCTTTTTCTGTTTCTTGAAGTTAAGAACTGCAATTCTGATTTATATCCTATATTAAGAGATACTACATTCTATATTTTTTCTTTTATTTCTGAAATTTATATAATATTTCTTTACATTTTGCAAAATCTATAACAATACATGTGGATGCATTTTAATTTTCTATAGTAAGAATTCAATTTTTACTTAAAATAGTTTTACTCTTTGTTTCGAAATGAGTTTTTAACTGAAAATATTTCTCTCAAACGTTAGCTGGAAACTTTCATAATATTATACATTAGCTATTTACATACACTTAGCTGTGTGGCAATATACATGGATAGATACATGCATCTATGAGATATAGTATGGAAGTTTGTATACGTCAGTGTTGTACATCCATCGATTTGAGGCAAACACAATAAACTTTGTTCAAATTTGTAAATCATGAAAATTCTTGTGTAATACGGAAATTGAAATATTAAATTTGTGAAATAATCTAACAACTCAACGTACTCTCAGAGATTGAAAAATCATTTCCAAAATTTAAATTAAAATTGTATATTAAATTACTAGAATTTTCATTGCAAAGATATTGCTAAAATTTTTGTTTGATTTTCGTTCTTTGTACAATACAACGTACGGTTTGACTACAGTTTTAGTATTTTAAAAATATTTTTTCAAAATTTCTCGTAATTTGAAAATTTAATATAAACATTAATAATTATCTTTTTGGCATTATTGAATATTGATATCATTAAGTATAGTTGGCTTTAACAAACTTGGTTTTTTGATTTCACCTAGGACAAGATTTTAATACAAACGCGTTGGACTTATAAGCGCAGCTTCGTACATCATGCTTCCTTAACTTAATCATTTCATCAAGTTAACGATCTTCCGTAAGATTTTCTCTTCTCTTCAAAACACATTTTAAGTTGAATTATAGTCTTTCATCCA